TTTGGTTTCCTGAAATCAAGAGGGGGGTAGGCTCCGATATCACACTGTTTTCCTGATTTTTTAAAAGTGAAAATGTTATAATTGAGCAGAAGGTTTGTTCGTAAAACTACTAATGGGAATCAATTCAGAAAACTAGAGTGTTTCCTTTCAACTTTGATCATTGACACAGCCAAAGCTACAACTAGAGGCGAATCCACAAAGATGTACGGTTCGATCCATTTTTAATTAATTCGGTTAGATTCGGTTCGGCTCGAACCATTTTGAATTAATTTGATTGATTTACAGGCTCTTGATGCATAAATAAGTACGTGAATCATCAAATCAAATAAACTTTATCTAATTCGATCTAATTCTCTCGATTCAAATTTTATTGAATAATGCGATTAAAAATATATAATAAAATAAAATTTAAATTAGCAATTACACCCCTTCAATGTACAAGTAGCTAGATTAATATTATGTCTATTGATGTCATCATTATAAAAAACAAATATTGAGATCAGGAAAAAATAACTATAGATAGATAAAAAAGAAAAAATAATTAAAATTATATTCAAATAAAAATTTGAAGATTTAGAAAATGAAAAAAGAAGCGAATATACAACTTAAATAGATAATAAGAATGGGGTTGCGTGAAGAGGAAAATATAAAGATGAATAAATAAAAAATAAAATAAGAAAAGGCAAGAAAGAAAGGGGAAAAGGGAACAATAGGGACAAGGATATACAAAACTCGGCAAAATACCTTCAAGCCCCTTAAATTTGGCGCAGATTATTGGTTACACCCTTGAATTATTCGTAGTCTTAATTATCCTCCTCAACTTGGTGATTCGAAAGGTGTTACCCCCTTAAACGGTCTCATCCCAAGAAAGAGGCATGCACTCGCGTGCCACATGAATTTTTTCAGTCCGTGTAGCATTTTAGTCACGACCCGGAATCCCAACCTCAGGGTCGTAATGGCGCCTAACGTCCACTTGCTAGGCAAGCCAACATTAGTTAACCAATTTAATAATTAAATAGTTCAAAACAAAATAATAACAATTATTAACATTGATTAACGCTGAAATACATGAAATATACCCATAACATAACACGATCTAACTCAATCCCAGAATCTGGTATCACCAGTACATGAGCAACTAGAAGTCTACAAGTATAGTTTGAAATAAATATAAATGTTCGGAGATAAACATTAAAGATAGGAAATGGAAGGGGACTTCAAGGTCTGCGAACGCCAGCAGCTCTACCTCAAGTCTCAGAAGCAAATATGATCCGAGCTGACGCACCTTTACACACCGCTGGGACCAATACCAATATCTGTACAGCTTAGCTCGCCGCGGCTCGGACTTTTTAGGTTGAACAATGTACTGATGTGTAAAGAAAAATTTTGTCGGAAAATGATCATTTCTGCGACCACTATGCGGTCGCAGAATCACTCTGCGGACTGCATAATGGTCGTAAAGTGGAGCAGGAGGAGGGCAAGATTTGAGAAAAATTTACGGTGCACTATGCGACCGCAGACCTGTTTTGCGGTGCATTATGCGACCGCAGAACAAGTCAGTAATGCCCAACTTTGGAGGCCAAATTATGCGGCTGGTATGCGGACCACATACCTATTATGCGATCTCATATGCGATCGCATAACTACATCGGAGCTTCCATTCTTTCTAATTTTTTACCCGACCCAACTTCGATTTATAACCCTTGAACCTCATTTTTTAGACAAAAATCTGATATTTTAGAGAGAGGTGAGAGCATTTTAGAGAGAGAAAGTGAAGACTTAGTGATTTATCCATCAATTCTTGTTCAAGGTTTGAAGATTTCACAAGGATCTTGCTAGGGATTCAAAGAGGTAAGAATTTCTTTCTCTAATTCTTCAATTTCGGGTTTGGAGTAAAGATAAGTGATTAATAGTATGATTCTTGGGTGTAGAGTATCATATATACATACCAATAAGGTTGTGCAAAGATTGTTAAGTTCAAATGGGTAAGGATTGGGTTGAAAATGGTAGAAATCTCCACATACTTTAATTGAAGATTTGAGGGTCGAGTTGGTGTCGGATTTTGGTAAAATTTATATGGTTGGACTCGTGGTTGGATGAGCATTCATATTCTGTAACTTTTGTCGGGTTTCGAGACGTGGGCCTTACGGGCGATTTTTGAGTTAGTTTCGGATTTTATTAGAAATATTAGTATTTACTTATGAAATTAATTATAATAATTTGTATTGACTGATTCGAATTAATTGTGGCTAGATACGAGGTTTTCGGAGATCAATTCTCATGGCAAGGGCATAGCGGAATAAATAATTATACGGGTTGAGATAAGTAACAGTTATAAATCTTGTCCTGAGGGTATGAAACCCCGGATTTTATGTCATGTGATTATTTTGGAGGTGACGCACATGCTAGATGACGGGCATGTAGGCGTGCACCGAAGGGATTGTAATTTGGTCCGTCCCGTAAAACTGTAAAGTTGAATAACCTGTTGTTAGCTATAAGCTCTCTTTGTGTTGAAGAAATTTGACTGTAAATCATGCTAAAAATCATGCTTAGGCTATGTGATAGTACTGTTAGGATCAACAGAGATCACGAACTTGTTGAATTATTTGCTAATTGTTATCTTGTGCTCAGTCTTGATTTTATTAGCGAATCATACCTCAGTCTTTCTTGACATTTGTTGATGCACTATGTTATCTTTGATTGGGCTGATCTTTGTATTTTTTGAGAGCCCGAGAGACTAGAGAGGTGAAGGACTAAGTAAGGCCGAGGGCCTGTTAGTGAGGTAAGGATATTATGGCACGTGAGTTGTCCGTGCAGGATATTATAGCACGTGAGTTGTCCGTACAGCACGTGAGTTGTCCGTGCAGATTATGGCGCTTGGGCTGTAGGAGCCCCTCTGGAGTCTGTACACACTCCCCAGTGAGCGCGAGTACCCATTGAGTGTGAGTGCTGAGGGCTGAGAGCCGAGTGGTTGAGATGTTGTGATGAGCTGAGTGACTGTTGCCTGAGAGGCTGTACTTGCTTTGCATTTGTTGTTGCACTTGGTTGCTATCTGTCATTGTTGTGAAATCTCTGAAAGACTTTATATCCGGATTACTTTAAATTGAACTGTATAAAATTGATTTGACTTAAACTGTCGGATTTGAAAGCATGTCTATTCCTTGCTGGAACTACTGAAAGTGAACTATGACTGTGTAGCTCGTCATTATCTTCAGTTCCTTAGTTATTATTGTTACTTGCTGAGTTGGTTGTACTCATACTACACCCTACACTTTGTGTGCAGATCCAGGTGTTTCTGAACATAGCGAGTGTTGATCATTTCACGCTGTTGACTTTCAGGAGATTTTGAGGTAGCTGTTGTGTTCCGCAGACTTTGTCTCTCCTTCTCTATCTCCTTGTTTACTGTATTTGGTCTCAGACTATTATAGACCGTATTTTTCAGACTTGTACTCATATTAGATACTCATGTACTCAGTGACACCAGGTTTTGGGAGTGTTGTATCGGAAATTGCTAGATTTTTGGTATTGTATTAAACGTTATATTTTTTAAATTTAAAGAAAATCATGGGTGATTGATGTTGTCGGCTTGCCTAATACTGAGATAGGCGCCATCATGACAAGTTAGGATTTTGGGTCGTGACTCTAATGTACTCCCTAAGTGTCGTGCCTAACTTCGACGA